GCTGCGGCTGCTGCTGCTGTTGGGGGAGATGTCATCATGCACTGTTAGTCTGTACTCTGCTTCATTTCCTTCGCGAGTCTCCATAGAAAGAGGAGACAGAGACACTTCCCAATAAGAAGTCCCTTCTATAGGCTCGTATATGTGCATAGAATGCAGAAATGCAACACCTGCAGCAGCAGCAGCAGCAAGAGCAGGAGCAGCAGTTTGGGCAACAGTAGCAGCAGCAGCATGAGCAACAGCAGCAGCAGCATGAGCAGCAGCAGCATGGAAACTGAGCCCAGAAACATTCTTCATTTGAAAAGCAACCAGGTAACACCAGCAGAAAACAGGAGAATCAGCAACAACAGCAGCAACAACAACAAGAACAGCAGCGGCAGCAGCAGCAACAGCAGCGGCAGCAACAGCAGCAGCAGCAACAGCAGCAACAGCAACAGCAGCAACAGCAGCAGCAGCAGCACCAGGGATCAGGTCAAGGGCCGAGCTTCCAACGTTTAGGAGGGCAGACGAAGATGAAGACTTTTTAATGCGAACAATAGAGGCTGCAGCAGCAGTATCAGCAGCAGCAGCAGCAGCAGCAGGAACAGACGCTCATGTTCCAGTGGTTGAGGCAGGAGCCGCAGCAGCAGCTGCCTAAAGAGACTCAGGAAGTATGAATTACAACAACAACAACAACTACTGCTGCTGCTGTTGCTGCTGCTGTTGCTGCTGCTCTATCTGCCTGTCAGCTTTTCTGTGTCGTTTTAGTAGTCTTGGGTTGCCTGTCTCTGTGTATATGCGTAATGCTGTTTCTGTCTGCCTCTACTGATTGATTGATTGATTGATTGATTGATTTATTTATTTTTTTTTCTCTCTCTCTCAGTCGTTGCTCATTCTGCGTCCTGTCTGTCTCTGCGTTTTGGTATTTGTCTGTGTCTGTCTTTGTTTGTTTTCGTTTGTCTTTGTTTTGTTTGCTTTTGTTTGTTTTGCTTGTCTTTGTTTATTTTTATTCGCGTTGATTGCGCTTGCTTATTCTTGTTTGTTGTTTGTGTTTGATTTTCTCTGTTTTTGTTTGCTTGTCTCTGTCTTGTTTGTTTACTGCTTTTTAACTCTCTCTTTTTGTTTATATTTGTCTATCTTTGTTTGTTTCTGCTACACCTGTTTGTTCTCTTTTCCGTTTGTTTTGTTTTTGTATCATTTAGCATTTACTACTACAAATAAAAAGATATATATATTATATATATAACCTACACGTATATATGAATATAAATCTGAAAGTATACTTATTGTATTTCTTTTTGTGTATTTACTGGATGATAGAAAATATCAACTTCCTTATATTGATGCTGCGGGGCCTTTCTTTCTGCTCTTTTTTGTCTTTGTACACCCTGTACTAAACAGACAGAATGAACTCCTTCTTTCTCTTTGTGCCTCTGTATCACTGTTATTCTCCTTCTTCTCCTCGTATAATATATATATATGTATATATATATGCATAATACGTATTTATATTATAGAGTATATTATGTGTATAATAGGCTATAGTAGCCACCTCTAGCATTTAATACTATTAGTAATGAGATATTTTTGTATTTGTATATATTATACACCCAAATAGAAATATTAATCTAAATACATATATATATATATATATATATGTATATATTTATACATATGTACATACATATCTATGTAGGACAAGCAGTACCTATCAGAGTGATTAAGACGTAAAGGGAAACAACAGCAAACAGCGCAAACATAACAACATTCTTGACAGTCCCTGTGAGGCCACGAGGAGAAGAGGGCGGCCTATCATCGCTGCCTGAGTGCACCCCACACAAGCCAAACCGGGGATCGGGATCATGGGATCGGGATCGGGATCTCGATCCCGAGTCCCCACCTTCGTTCTTCGTGTCTTCAACTGTACTTCTCTGCAGAGTAAGAGAATATTTATTTTCCCTGGGGATTACTTTCCATGTATCATTTTAATAAACACTAAAGACAAGCAAAAAAGACATTTATAAAAACATTCTAATAGAAGTACGGGCACCGGGGATCGAACCCGGGATCTTCTGCGTGTTAGGCAGACGTCATAGCCACTAGACCATGCCCGCTTGTGCACTCATCTATTTCATTCGGAGTGGGGAATACATAGCAGAAATAAATAAATAAAACGATAAATAATGAGAAAAAAAGGGTTTAAAACGATTTTTAAATCATATTTACTCTTAAATAATTATTTTTTCTGCTTAAAATTATATTTCTCCCTGCCCGCAAATCATTCAGGAAATCGGTACGGAGGGGATTTGTTTCTATTGCATGTTTAGTTTCTTTGTTTTTAAAAGAAATAATTTATAAATTATACCTTTTGAACGGTGTATATGCATTTTCTTGTCGTAAGAAGAATGAAAATTTCTCTTCTTAGTTTATATTTGGTGTGTGTCCTGCTGCAGCACACCTATTGACGATGTCCCCGGAAGAAACAAATGCAAGAAATAAATTAATTGCAATATTTATTCTTTTAATCGCATAAATAAAATGACAGCAATTATTAAAATACAAAGAAATACAACCATACGCTTCTCCTTAAACAAACAGCCCCGAAGACCCTTTCTTATCACCCACACAGCTGCTGCTGCTGCTGTACGGCTGCTGCTGCTGACCGCTGCTGCTAATGAGCCGCTGCTGCTATGCTCCTGCTGCATTGCTGCTGCTGCATTGCTGCTGCTGCTGTGCTGCTGGTGTTGCTGTACTGCTGCTTGTGCTGTGCTGCTACGGCATCAGCAGCACGAGAACGTGGTCCTGCTGCTGCTGCTGCTGCTGCATACTGCTGCTGTGAATTGGAGCAGGGAGACTAGGAGGTTAGCGATGGCTTCGTGCGGTGTTCCGTCTTTCAAAGACATTGTTTATAGCAGCAGACAGATCTGCATGCTGCACAGAGGCCTAGAGCAGCAGCAGCGGCAGCAGCACTCAATTAGAGACACGAATGAATAGAGACAATAATATCCCTTTGCTCCCTTCAGCATCTCTGGGGTTCCAGCAGCAAGAAGTGCTAGAGCAGCAAATGCACGCTGCAGCGCAGCATGAGCAGCACGTGCTGCAGCAGCTGAGGAGACAGCTGAGGAGACAGGTAGATAAGGAGACAGTATCTGCTGTTGATAGCAGCACTTGTTGCTGCTGTCGTAGCAGCAATTTATTATGTTTCTCTGTTGCTGCTTGAGTGACAGCAATAGGAGACATTTCAATCATTCAAACACCCCCCCTAAACCCTAAACCCTAAATCAGTCGAGGCCTTCTATGCCGACTTGCAACGTAAACCCTAAACCCTAAACCCTAGATGCTGAGGCACTTTGTTGCGTAGGAGACAGCTGAGCTGTCTCCTTATCTTCATGCTAAACCGTAAACTCTGAAAGACCAATCAGAGACAAAAACAAAAACGCAAACTCTAAACCCTAAAAGCAGGGATGGAGAGACAGCAAAACGGATGCACATCACAGCACCGAGTTCAAGCACTTGCTGCTGCTGCTGCTGCTGGTGCTTCTATGCAGCACGTGCTGCTGCAGCTGCTTGCAACATAACCGGGTACAGCCGCTCGGCTTCCTGTAGCTGCTCTTGCTGCTGCTGCTGCTCGTGCTGCTGCTGCTCGTGCTGCTGCTGCTGCTGCTGCTGCGGCATCAAAAAGCATCTTCAACTTTAAGCGCCGAAGTGAAGCCCTCGAGGTTTTCCCTCAAAACTGAAAACCACAAACCCCAAGCAAAAGGACGTAGAGAACCCTAAACCCTAAACCCTAAATTAGGGTTTAGGGTTTTTAGTGGCTTCAGGAAAGCATATGCTTCTCTTTAATGTAATGCAGGGTTTTGGCGGGAAGCGCAGTCTTCCTACTAGGGCTTAGGGTTATTAATGCACAAGGATTTAGGGTTTATAACGCGGAAGGGTTTAGAGCTCAATATATACACACTCGCATAGAGTTTAGGGTTTTAGGGTTTAGAGTCGAAAGGGTTTTAGGGTTTATAATCCACAAGAGGTTTGGGTTTAGTGTGTATGATGTGCTAAAATTTAGGTTTTATGAAGGTTTAGGGTTTCTGAGGATTTAGGGTTTCTGAGGGTTTAGGGTTTCTGAGGGTTTAGGGTTTGTGAGGGTTTAGGGTTTCTGAGGGTATAGGGTTTGTGAGGGTTTAGGGTTAATGCTGCGAGTTACATTTGATCTCCTGTATGCAAGTTTGCTCTAAAGGAGTTAAAAAAGAAGAAGAGAAGAACTGCACAAAAGGATATAAAGATGTTCGCTCCTTTGGGGATCGGGATCGCCTTTGGGGATCGTCGAACTCCCGCCTTAGCAGACCTGCAGCATCAAACAAATTCAATAGTCTTCTATATTCCTCACATCTATAATTAAATATATATATATACTTATTTATATATTTATACACTGATACATGCATTCTGAAGCAGCGATCTATCTACCTATCTATGAAAAGCTAAATATATATCCATATAAATACCTATATATATATATATATATATGTATATATATATATATATTTTATATATTCTCTATTATGTATAAAGCAGATCTTACATTTTATATATTACAAATAATATACAAAAAGAATTTGCTGCAGATATGTACAGCAAAAAGCCCTAATAAGCTACGATGCCTCTTGCTTTAGCCTTAGGGTTTAGGGTTTAGGGTTAAGGGTTTACTGAGCGTGGGGACCCGCTGAGGATCGAAATCATCCAACTCTTTCAAATCAATCGGCACACACACCCGACCTGCAGCAGCAGCAACAGCAGCAGCAGCAATAGCAGCACCATCCATAGCAGCAGCAGCCATAGCAGCAGCAGCAATAGCAGCAGCAGCAATAGCAGCACCAGCCATAGCAGCAGCAGCAGGAATCATAGCAGCAGCACCCACACAAGTAGCAGCAGCAGCAGAAGCAGCAGTCGAGTTCCTTCTAGCTGCAGCAAATAAACTGAGACAGCGGGTGTTTCGTGTGAAGCAGAGCCTCTAACCCTAAGCCCTAAACTCAAAGCCTAAACCCTAAACCCTAAACCCTAAACCCTAAACCATCAGCAGCAACTCTGGTTACCTGTGCCGTGGTGTATGCAAAACGGTGCCTTGAGAAGATGGCCGATATCCTTACTGCAGCAGCAGCAGCAGCAGCAGCAGCAGCAGCAGGAACACCCATGAGCTGTAAACCCTCGAAAGAACGGATCGTGCTGCTGTACGTTCGCTGCCAAATATCAGTTGAGGGTTTAGCTCTAGGGTTTAGGGTTTGGGGTTAAATCTGCCTAGACAGCGAAGGATTCAGTTCAAGCGGGTCTTTTCTAAGCTCAGGTTTAAAGACTTTGGCAGTTCAAATAGGGTTTAGGGTTGATGAGGGTTTAGGATTTATGGGGGTTTAAGGTTTATAAGGGTTTAGGGTTTACGGTGGGTTAGGGCTTATGAGGGTTTAGGAATATGAGGGTTTGAAGTTTATGAGGGTTTAGGGCTTATGAGGGTGTATGGTTTATGAGGGTTTAGGGTTGATGAGAGTTTAGGGTTTATGAGGGTTTAGGGTTTATGAGGATTTAGGGTTTATGAGGGTTTAGGGTTTAGCCGACCTGACGTTGATATCGAGCCTTGGATAAGAAAACGCCAGAACAATCTCCTTGATGAAAGTAGGTACTGCTTCCGTCTCTCTTGCTGCTGCTGCTGCTGCTGCACCGTCAGCAGGAGCAGCAGCAGCAGCAGCGGGTGTCTGGCAATTAACGAGTCTGCATATTTTCTCAAATAGAGCAGCACTTTTGCTGTTTTGAGGTGTATCTGCACTTTTTGCTGCTTTAACCTCTTGAATGCAAGACATAACTTGCTGCCGTAGTCCTGCTGCTGCTGCTGCTGCTGCTGCACTCCGCGACTTTGTTGAAGCACCAAACCCTCGTGCTGCACCACCACCGAACCCGCTGCTGTTGCTGCTGTTGCTGTTGTTGCTGTTGCTGTTGCTGCTGCTGCTGTCTCCTGGGAGGTACTCCATTAGCTGCTGCAGCTGCTTGTCTCCTTCAGCAGCAAAAAAGAAATCCTGCTCCTCCAATATGCGGTTGAAGTGTCTGTACGCTATTTGAAAGGCCCGCCTGCAGCAGCAGCAGCAGCAGCAGCACTAGCCACAGCAGCTCTAGTAACAACAGCAGCAGCAAAACGAACAACAACAGCAGCAGCAGCACTAGCAACAGCAGCAGCAAAACTAATAACAACAACAGCAGACAAAGCGGCAGCAGCAGATGCACAACTAGAAACACACGCAGCACAAGCAGCAGCTGTTGAAGCGACAGCAGCAGCAGCTAGCAGCAACAGCAGCTAGCAACAGCAGCAGCAGCTAGCAGCAACAGCAGAAATAACCAACTCACTCAACAGAAGGGTGCTGGGTTTTGCCCCATAAGTTAATCTTCTTCGCCTGCTGGTCTGAGCCCTGCAGACAAAAACCCTAAACCCTAAACCCTAAACCCTAATCTTTTCAGCATCCAGTGAAGAGGATTGCAGCTAACAACAGCCGGATGCAAAGGAAGAAGAAATGAGGGTTTAGGGGTGGTGAAATGAGGGTTTAGGGTTTAGAGAGGCACACCTAAGGGTTTAGGGTTCAAAGAGGAGGGTTTGGGGTTTAGGGAGGAGGGAATTAGGGTTTAGGGTTTGATGAGGGTTTAGGGTTTGATGAGGGTTTAGGGTTTAGGGTTTACAGTGAGGAGGTTCAGGTACTCCGCCAGTTGGCCGCGGCTTTCATTTGGCAGCAGACGAGCGTCTGTGTCGCAAATCTAAACACAGCAGCAGCAGCAGCAGCAGCAGCAGCAGATGTCTTCAGCCTGCAGCTGCTGCAGCGAAAGAGTTAACAAAAGGCAGCACATACTGTTGCAGCAAAGAGCAGCAACAGAAGCAACAGCAACGAAAACAGCAGCAGCAACAACACCAGAAGCAACAGCTGAAAGACCAGCAGCAGCAACAGCAGCAAGACCAGCAACAGCAACAGCACGACCAGCAGCAGCAACAGCAGCAAGACCAGCAGCAGCAACAAGAACAGCAGCAACAGCAGCAGCAAATGTATACCCAAGCATGAATTCCTCTTCTTCCTGAGAAGACCCAGAAAATTTGTTTATATCCAAAATCTTCACGTAGTGCCGCTTCAAGCAAACGAACCGCCACTGATAAAAACCGCCTGCAAACCCTAAACCCTAAACCCTAAACCCTAAACCCGGATACCCTAAACAAACCCTAAACCCTAAACCCTAAATCCTACACGAGGAAACCATGGACGCTAAGCCGTAAACCGCAAACCCTAAACCCTAGACCCGATATCCGGAACCCTAAACGCTAAAAACCCTAAACCCTAAACCCTAAACCCGGAAACCCTAAATCCTAAACCCTAAACCCCGAAACCAAAACCTTAATTCCTACGTTCTACGCCCTAAACCCCGCAAGCCGTAAACCCTAAACCCTACACCCTAAACCCTCCACCCAAATGCCGTCAGTGTTAGCCCCACAGCGGCGAAGGGTGAAACCCTAAACCCTAAACCCTAAACCCTAAGTATTTTATTCTTACCAGCATTTTTTGCAGACTTTTTTATCTTTGCAGCATGTTCTAATAGCATCATAATCATTCATATCGATATCGAAGACTAATTCTTTTTGCTGGGGTTTAAATAACACCCCGTGAGTTTCCTTTTGAGCTACGGGGTGTACGTACACCCCGCCCAAATCAAACTTATGACAGAAAACATCCGATAAAGACAGCAGACGCTCGCGTAAAGCTTGTAAAGAGACGAAACCCTAATGCATTCAAATACATAAATAAATAAATAAATAAATTAATTAATTCGTTAACTGATTGATTCATTAGTTTATTAATTAACTAATGCAAACGAAACATCCGACAGATATATATATATATATATATATATGTATGTATGTATATGCATATATTTATGTATGCATATATATACATATATATATATATACATGTACATATGTATACATGCATATATATATATATGCATATATATGTAATATATATAATATATAAAGATATATATATATTTTAAATAATTTACCTGCCATCGCATGAAGAATTCTTCATCTTTTGCATCTTTTCGTTTGCAAGTCAAACAAAACTCTCTTTTAGAAATAAACTCGGGGTCGTTGAGAGCTGTCTGTACACCGGAAGGAGAATTTTTATAAGATAGCCATCGTTGCAGCTCTTCAAAGGGAAACAGATGCTCTGAAATACACAAACCCTAAACCCTAAACCCTAAACCCTCAATCTTCGACGCTAGGGACAGGAAGATGCGAGGGAAGTTTAGAAAACAAGAATTGCACACAAAACCCTAAACCCTAAACCCTAAACCACAAGATTCATATGTTAGGTTGGTCATGTCGGCAAATCGAAACCCTAAACCCTAAACCCTAAACCCTAAACCGTAAACCAGTGAGCTTACCGTAGTAGAAGCGGAGAGCGGCAGCAGAGACATCTGCATCATTAGGGATTGGTTCAGGGAGAAGGAGACCCATGTCTTTATTTTAAAGCCTTTTCTCGATGAGTAGAGGTATAATAAAGAGGAAATATAGGGTTTAGGGAGCGCGCTAGGGTCTAGGGTTTAGGGTTTAGGGTTTACGGGGGGCTTCCCTCATCACTGCTGCTGTTGATTAGTTTAAAAGCCTCACAAATAAAGAAAATATGAAATATTAAAAAGAAAGAAATACATAAAAATGTTTCATTTGAGTCTTTCTTTTTTATTTAGGTTTCTTGTAGCAGAAGACGGCTTATACTGCTCGGTAGACGAGAGAAAAGCAAATAAAATATGCTTTAATATATACAATTAATTCCGCTTATATACTTTATTTAATTGAGGTATTCAAAGAAAAACAAACAAAAACAAAGAGAGGGCCCCCTGCTGCTTCTAACCCCTAAGAGAGCGGTGGGTGCTGTGTTCGGGTTGTTGTAAACAGCAGCAGCAGCTTATAAATTTTTAAACTTTTCTCTGCTTTTTCCTTGTTACAATTAAATGTTTGGGGCTCTTATTGCATGCAATTTATTTAATTAAATATACCTTTTCTTATTCACGGAAAAATTCAATATAAACGACTTCAAAGACATGTGGGGGGCCCCCGAAGAATGTGCATGCATACAGCGCTGCTGCTGCTGCTGCTGCTGCTGTTGCTGCTGCTGCTGCTGCTGCTGCTTAGTAATGCAAATATAACTAAAACAGCGGTGTATTTGTCTAAAGGAAGTAAACAGAAGATAATTAAATCTGCATGTAATAAGTTTATACGAGCTAAAAAGAATATACACAGGAAAACCATCTCAAACAATATATGTATTAAATATACATATTCGTTTCTGTCTAAACCATATCTGTTTATATAATATATTATCGTATTCACTGAACTTCAAGTAAATTTATTTATTTATTTATTTATTGTTTATTATTTGTTATTTATTTAATTTGCGGCGCATCACCACCTTACTTCGAATTATTACTGCATCTGTTTTCATACAATTACTGGCGCAGTTGTCTATTTGTTTATCTTCTTTTTGTTTATTATTTATTTCATTACTATTACTAATTAATACAATTAAATAACTTTTATATGTATCTATTTATTTGCTTATTCTTATATATATGTTTATCATTATACATATTTGGATGTATTCATTTATATATATACATACATATTTATATATCTACATACTGCTATCTAAATAACAAACAAACTAGATAAATTAAATTAAATAAATAAATAAATAAACAAATAAATAAACAAATAAATAAATAAAGATATTATTCGTTATGTTGAATACACCACTTCACACGAAGCGGGCATGGTCTAGTGGCTATGACGTCTGCCTAACACGCAGAAGATCCCGGGTTCGATCCCCGGTGCCCGTACTTAACACGCAGCTGTATATATTTATATTTATAATTAAACAATATTTATATATATTTATATGTATAATTAAAGTTGTAATTATGTTTATATTTTTATGTATATTTATTATTTGCATTTGTTATTATATATATATATATATATTTATTATTGATTTGTTTGTCTACATCAAAAGCAAATACAATATGCATTAGATGATGCAGCTGCGATGCAAAAGGGTAGGCAGCCTAAATAGAGTTATCTAATATATATACGTAGATATATATATATATATATATATATATGCGGCGATTTTCTCTTGCGAGCCTCATCATCTACTGGTCCTCCAGATACGAATAAAGGAATCTTAAAGTGCATTACTACCTAGAGTAATTTGCAGCAGCAGCAGCAGCAGCAGCAAGTTACAACACAAGCGCTTGCTGCAGCAACTGCTGCTGCAGCAGAAGCAGCAAACGCAGCAGCAAGTGCTGCTGATAGGGGTCTCTTAAGGGTCTTTTAATTACATCACTTAATTTTATGTTGCTTTTAAAAGACAAGAGTTTTCGGTATAGAGAACGACAGCTGCGCGAGGTGCATGTACACCCTGGGGCCGCCTCCAGCTAGCTAGCTAGCTAGCTAGCCAGCTAGCTCCTGCCAATTAACAAAATCCTTGCTAGCTAGCTAGCTAGCTAGCTAGCAAGGTTGCAGCTAGCTAGACACGAACAACACACAATCTCTAAACCCCTACAGACCCTGAAGAAGAATTCATCAGGTGTACATACACCCGAAGGCAAGATATTTAGGTAGCCCCATGCAAAAGGAGTAAAATGAAAAGAAAAAATGCAGAGTATGAAATTATACTCAACAAAAAGAAACCCTTAACTGCACTGCACTTGCAATGCGTTATACAGGCTTGTACAAACAAATATATATATATATATATGTAAATGCATATACATAAATATATATAAATAACTACATATATAAATGTACATACAGATTTATTAGAGATATACAGATGCGCATATTTAGCAATGCATGCATTTTGTTGTTTAATATCGTTGCAGGAGGTGTATGTAAATTTGCATATAAACCGTAGTGTATATACACCGTGGCTTATATGCTGCGCTTAATCTTATTATTATTAAGGCCTGTGGTGTATATACACCTCAATTCTTAACAAAAGTAAGAGTAAGAGGAGAACCCGCTACGGTGTATGTGTCTTGATGCATAATTTCGCTATCTTCTACGTGTTTATCTCCCGGCCATTTCCTTAAAGGTCTTCTTAAACAATTTGCAATATACTCTGCTTCTTCTTGCAAAACAACAGATAAAGAAGCGTCAGTGGATGAAGCAAACATCAAAACCTCGTCATGCTGCTGCAGCTGCAGCTGTACATACACCCCAATCAACACATACACGCTGCAAACCTTAGCTGTATATACTTCCCCCTCCCTATCATCAACCAGATGTTAGCTAAGACAAACAAAAACTCGCTGCACACACACAGCTATATCTGCACGTTTAATTAGGGTTTAGGGTTTAATGAGGGTTTAGGGTTTAATGAGGGTTTAGGGCTTAATAAGAGTTTAGGTTTAAAAACAGCACCTGTTTTCTCAGCTTCTGCACACGATTAGCGATCTGCAAACACCGCAGGAAAAAATAAAAGAGCAGCAATAACAGCAGCCCTCCATCCACCTGCTGCAAGCAGCAACAGCAACTGTTGCTGCTGGAAGAAGCAACAGCAACAGCACCAGCAGCAGCAGCAGCAACTACATACCTCCCTCGCTACGGCCTTGCGCTGCAACGCGGGGTCTTCGGTGAAGTCCATTATAACAACAGCAGATCTAGAAAAGCAAAGAGCAGCAAATAAAAAAGAAGAAACACATAGATAAACAGATGGAGAGAGTAAGCAATAATAGCAGCACAGCACAGCACAAACCAATCTACAATCAAACCCTAAAACCCTAAACCCTAAAACAAAACCAATGCATTTTTTCCTGCTGAAGGAAGCAGCCGTGAAGTGCGCATACACCCCAAACCCTAAACCCTAAACCCTAAACCCTAAACCCTAAACCCTAAACTTTAACTGGCGAGTTTTCAATACTCCCACACAGTAAACACACTACCAACCGCTGCCCTGGGTATCCTACCCCACCAAACCCTGAACCCTAAACCCTAAACCCTACCTGTCGCAGTGTACAGCGAGGTTTGGGTTATCGACCTTTGGCGTTTCTCTTTGTATGAACGCATCATCAGCAGACAGTATCATTCCTGCTACTTCAATCTGTCCTTCTTTTTCAAACCTTCTAAGCTGCTCTTGAGAGCAGCACTTTGCTGCTGCTTGCAGCTGCTGCAGCGCCTTTCCTACACGGGGCCCCAGAGCCTTAAAATTCAGAGTTAGAGACAACGGGGCCTCTGACTTGTCAACTGAGACCTCCATCTCGCACGCGTTCAATTCCTCCTAAAAAGAAATTTTAAATAAACACACAAACACACCAAATAATAATTAAATGATGCAGACTACAATGTAATATACAAAAAAATGCAGCTTATATATAAATATAATAAACATATATATATATATATATTATCTTACTCTAATATAATTTTCTGTCTCCTGCAGGTCTGTGGAGTGCTGTTCATTGGAGACGAGACAGCGAAGCAACGAGACAGGAGTCTTCAGCGGCACTTTTCTTCTTTCTCTCAGCGTCCGACCCATTATTATCACTGTAAAACAACAAAAACAAATAAATATAAATATAAATATAAATATAAATATATATATATATATATATACTATAGACAGAGAGAGAGGGAGAAAGGAAGAGAGAGAAAGAGAGAAAGGAGACAAAGAGAAACTGCTGCATGCGCATACAGCAGGAGCAGCAGCAGAGGGAGCAGCAGCAGCAGCAGAGGGAGCAGCAGCAGCAGCAGAAGCAGCAGTTGCCGTTTCTTTACCGCTTTGCATGCGCTTCATTTTTTCTTCAACTCTTTCATCTCTCAGTTCGTCTTTAGGCGGCGGCAGCAAAACAAAATGAACGCTCTCAGCATATAAATGATGAGAGGAAGGTAAACCCTTTTTAAGGGCTTGGTAGAGAAACTCGCTCATGAAAGGAGTTAAAGGAGCCTTAAAACAAACCACAAACCCTAAACCCTAAACCCTAAACCCTGAAATTCTCAAATGCAAATATTTACTGCAAACCCTAAACCCTAAACCGAAAACAAAGGACTCTAAACCCTATTCCGCAAACCCTAAACCCTAAACCCTAGACTCTGAACCCTAAACCCTCAAATGCTAAGAGTGGAGATGGCCGCTTCCTTAGGGATATGTGCAGGCGATGTAGATAATTAGGGTTTAGGGTTTAGGGTTTACGAACCATATATACTATGGTGGTGAGAAGAACAGAGAAAAGGGTTTGCAATGCCTCTAGAGTTTCTTCTGGGCCTGCAGCTCCTCTCATACGATCTCTATTTAAACGCAAATACCTGAAAGAAAGAAAAGAAAGAAAAGAAGAAAAGAAACAGGAAATAGAAAGCAGTTAAGGGTTTAGGGTTTAGCGGGCTAGGGTTTAAGGGACTGAAATTCGTAGGGATTGAGTGAGGGTTTCAACACCGGCACCGTAAAGTGTGGCTATTAGGGTTTAGGGTTTGATGAAGAGGGTTTAGACAGGGTTTAGGGCTTCCTTAAGGGTTGCAGTTTAGTAAGGATCTAGAATACACTTAAATTTTATTCAGTGTTTATGGTTTAGGGTTTGGGTAGGCTGTAGTTATGGTTTAGTTAGGGTTTACGGTTTAGCTAGGGTTTAGGGTTTAGGGCTGAGCTAGGGTTTAGGGTTTAGGGTTTTGTTAGGGTTTAGGGTTTAGCGAGTCACCAGTTAGTGAGGAGCTCAAGGAAGGAAAGGAGTTGAGGCACCAGGGTGTACAGACGGTAGGCTTCAATCTCCTCCTTCACGAACTGCAGCAGCAGCAGCAGCAACAGCAGCAACAGCAACAGCAACAGCAGCAGCAACAGCAGCGGATCCAGACAAATGTAGGTTTACTCAAAACCCAAATAACAATCAAACAAACGAACAAACGAACAAACAAATAAGATAAATAAACAAATAAATAAATAAATAAATAAATAAATAAATAAATAAAAATTAAATAATTAGTTAAATACCTTTACAGTGCGCTGGGTCTCAGAGAGGATCCACCTATCCATGCAATTTTTTCTGTTTTTCTCTGCTTCTTCCGTCGCAACTTCAAACTTTCTTTTTGTCTTTGACTCATATCTAATCACTTCTTGAATAAAGAACCTGCATGCAGCAGCAGCAGCAGGACAAGCCGAAGCAGCAGCAGCAGTATGAGGAGCAGCAGCACCAGTATTAGGAGCAGCAGCAGCAGGAACAACAGTATCCAGCAACAAAAAGAGCAGCAGGAGCAGCAGCAGCAGCACTACCAGCAGCAATAACAAAAGCAGCACTTCCAGTTGCTGCAGCATCACAACCAGCAGCAGCAAAAGAAGCTACTGACCGCATATCATGATACCACAACAGCAGCAGCAGCAGCAGCAACAGCAGCAGCAACAGCAGCAGGAGAAGTGTCTTACCTTGTGGCATGATACCAGGGCAGCAGCACATCTTTAATAATATCTTTAACTCCTTCTTGTTTAAAGTTTAGAGTCTCTCCTTTAACAACAGGAGAGTTAAGCAAATACAGCCGAAGAGGATCTGCACCAAATGCGTTTACAACTTCTTCAATGGCTGGATAATTCTGCAGCCGTTTGCTCATCTTACGTCCATCAGCAGCTAATACTAAACCTAATAAAGCCAAACACAAACAGCAGCAAATACAAAAAGCAGTAGCAGCAAATAGAGCACCAGCAGCAGCAAACATAGCACCGCCAGCAGCAAATACAGCAGCAGAAAATCAAACAACAATTGCAGCAGCAGGAAATGCAGCAACAGCAGCAAAAAATGCAGCAGCAGCAAATACAGCGGCACATGCTCAAATACGTAACATCTATAACGGCAGCAAAAGGCTGAAGATACAGCTACTACTGTCACTGCCACCTCTGCTGCTGTTGCTGCTGCTGCTGCTGTTGCTGCTGCTGCTGCTGCTGCTGCTGTTGCTGTACCGTTTGCAATGAGGTTCTTGAAGGGGGGTTTGTTGAATAAAGCTGTCGATATTACTAACATCGTATAAAACCAACCGCGAGTTTGATCCAAACCCTCAGCAACGAAATCTGCAGGGAATGTCTCTTCAAACTGCAGCAGCAAATGCAGCAAATGCAGCAGCAGCAGCAGCAGCAAATGCAGCAGCAGCAGCAAGTGCAGCAGCAAATGCAGCAAATGCAGCAGCAGCAGCAAATGTAGTAGCAGCAGCAAATGCAGCAGTGGCAGCAAATGCAGCAGGAGGAGCAGCAACACCAACAAACAGCAGCAGCAGGAGCAACAGCAACAGCATCGGGAACAGCTGCAACAGCAGCAGCAGCAGGTGCAGCAGTCTTACTCTCTCTTTGTTTTCGAAGGGATAGTGCAGCTGTGCATACGGCATCGATCCGCTTTCAAACCAACAGTCAAAGACCTGCAGCAGCAACAAACAGCAGCAGCAGCAAACAACTGCAGCAGCCGGAAGAGCAGCATGCAATAGCAGGACGAGGAGAAGCAAGAGCAGCAGCAACACCACCATCAGCTGCAGAAACAGCAGCAGCACTACCAGCCGAAACAACAGCAACAGCAGCAGCACCACCACCTGCAGCAGCAGCAGCACCACCACCACCTGCAGAAGCAGCAGCAGCACCACCACCTGCAGCAGCAGCAGCACCACCACCACCTGCAGCAGCAGCAGCAGCAACAGCAGCAGCAGCAGCAGCAGCAACAGCAGCAGCAGCAGCAGGAGCAGCAGCAGCAACAGCAGCAGCAGCAGCAGCAGCAGGAGCAGCAGGATGTCTAACTTCTTCAACTCTTCTAAGAGGAGGAAACTCTGGTCCTCTTGGGTCTGCAATTGTAATATCGTCGATGGCGTCGCGGTGTAAATCCTCCACATGACAACCGGACTTCTCCTCCAGCTCTGCTACACTTCCTGCAGCAGCAAATGCAGCAGCAGCAGCAGATGCAGCAGCAGATGCAGCAGCAGCAGCAGATGCAGCAGCAGATGCAACAGAAGCAGCAGATGCAACAGCAGCAGCAGATGCAGCAGCAGCAGCACTACCACAGCAGCAGCAGCACTACCACCAGCAGCAGCACCACAACAAGCAGCAGCAGCAGCACTACCACCAGCACCAGCAGCAACAGCAGCAGCAGCAGCAACAGCAGCAGCAGGAGGGATACCTATGCAGACGATTTGCTGGAAGTCTTCGCTAACCCAAAGAGGGAGCGGCGTCCCCCAGAATCTGTTTCTGCTGATGCACCAATCTTTTGCTTCTGCTAGCCAGTTATTAAATCTTTTATCTTGTAACGACTGAGGCACCCACTTGCTGCTGCTGCTGCTGCGCTGCAGCTGCTGCCGCATGTCCTCTACTTTAAGAAACCAAGAAGCTACTGCTTTATATACTAATGGGGTGTCTGATCTCCAGCAGAAAGGATATGAATGCACTATACTCCACGAGCTTAATAGTCTCCCTTCTTTCTTCAATTCTTCAGCAACAAGTTTATTGCTGTCCTTAAAATATAAACCTTTACCCAAAGATACACTCGAAAGTATATGTCCGCTGTCGTCTATTGTACAAGCCAAAGGACCCCCAACTTCTATTATCCTGCAAATAATAAACCCTCATAAACCCTCATAAACCCTAATATAAACCCTAATATTAACCCTAATATAAACCCTAATATAAACCCTAATATTAACCCTAATGTAGACCCTAATATTAACCCTAATGTAAACCCTAATATAAACTCTAATATAAACCCTAATGTAAACCCTACAATAAACGCTATAGTAAACCCTAATATAAACCCTATAAGCCCTATAATAAACCCTAATATAAATCCTTATAAAAACCCTAATATAAACCCTAATATAAACCCTAATATAAACCCCTATGAACTCTAATATAAACCCTCATAAACCCTAATATAAACCCCAATAGAAACCCTCATAAGCCCTAATAGGCCCTTATGAACCCTCATAAACCCTCATAAACCCTCACAAACCCTCACTTGTTTGCAATGCACACGCGATAGTCATCCTCTCCGAAGGCAGGAGCGCAGTGTACAATACCAGTACCTGCAGCAGCAGCAGTAGCAGCAGCAGCAGAAGTGGCAGCAGCAGCAGCAGCGCCAACAGCAGCAGGTGACGCCCTGTACTTCGGGAGAGAAAAGCACTGCCCGGCAACAAACACTCGCTAAACCCTAAACCTTAAACCCTAAACCCTAAACCCTGATACTAGGCCCTAAAAGGGAGCAGCAGACCCCGAACCCTCATGCCTCTACTGCAAGCGAAGTCTACAAGGGTGAGAGACCCGAGAGGCCCAGCAGGGTTTAGGGTTTAGGGTTTAGGGTTTACCAGATTCCGACGTAACAAAGGTGTCTACGCAAACCCTAAAAGCAGAGGGGAAGCCGGAGGCGAAGTAGTCAAAGACAGGGGTGTAAGACAGATCTGAAGACACAAAACCCTAAACCCTAAACCCTAAACCCTGAACCCTGATGAACGCCAACGCATTCGGGTGTACAGACAGCTTTGATGCAGACAAAACAGAACACAAAGCAGCAAACAACAGCAACAATAGACAGACAAACAAGTAAAACAAACAAACAAACAACACCACAGCAGCAGCAGCAGCAGCAGCAACAGAAGCAGCTGCAGCACCAACAGCAACACGTGCAGCAGCAACAGCAGCACTCAAAAAAAACAGAAAAGAGAAGAGCACCAGCGGAACAAGAAGCAGCAACACACGCTGCAACAGCCCACCTTAAAACCCTAAACCCTAAACCCTAAACCCTCGACTCACCGCGCAGTTTCTCCCCCGGAAATTCGGACAGAATTTCAACATCCGAGACTTCCACCTTGAGCTGCATATCACAAACCCTAAACCCTAAACCCTAGATCCTAAACCCTAACCCTAAACCTTAAGACCCAGCGTGTTTGTGGTGTTAAGGGTTTAGGGTTTAGGGCTTCAGCTGATAATAAAAAACTCAAAACGTAATTGCTTGGTTTAGCGTTTAGGGTTTTTGAAGATATGCACAGAATTAATGTTTAATTCTTAGGGCTGTTAGCAAATCAACCTCAAACGGAAACCCTAAACCCCAAACCCTAAACCCTAAACCCTTAAGACTTGCATGTTTGCACATCCACTCGAGGCGCTCCTTCAAGAAGACGAGAGTGCTGCAGACAAACCCCAAGCAACAACCAGCAGAACCCTAAACCCTAGTAAACCCTAAACCCTAGTAAACCCTAAACCCCAAAACACCCTAAATCCTAAAACACCCTAAACCCTAATAAACCCTAAACCCTCTTTCCTAAACCCCAACCCTACGAAACTAATAAACCCTAATAATCCCTACTAACCCCCAATCATAAACCCTAGTAAACCCTCATAAACCCTAGTAAACCGTAATAAACCCTGATATACCCTAATAAACCCTACTAAACCCTTATAAACCCTAATATAAACCATCGTAAACCCTCATGAACCCTGATAAATCCTGCTAAACCTAATATAAACCCTAATATAAACCCTAATAAACCCTCACCGCTTGCTGGGTTTGATGAAAGCCTTCACATAGACCATCGTGGGGTGTACGCACAGCGCCAAGTTAGCGGGCAGTGTCCAGGGTGTGGTTGTCCAGATAGTAAATTCAACAGAGTCTCCTAAGAACGAGTTGTCTGTACACCTGAAAATCAGCAGCAGCAGCAGCAGGAAGAGTGGCAGCAGCAGCAGCAGAAGGGATTCAGCAGCAACAGGAATATAGCGGCAGCAGTAGCAGCAAAATAGGAGTAGCCGCAGCAGCAGAAACCCCAATATTAACAGCAGTAGCAGACGCAACCACAGCAACAGCAGTAACCGCAGCAGCAAGAGTAGAGCAGCAACAACAGCAGCAGCAGTATCAGCAGTAACAGGCGGGCTGCTGGCAACAGCTGCATCCCACCCAAGACAGAACTAGGGTTTAGGGTTTAGGGTTTAGCTAAAATTTACTTGAATGCGACAATAAGACAGGGGTCGCTGACGTCTTTGTAATTTTGATTTGCTTCGAAGTTTGATAAAGGAGTGCCACATGCAGTAGAGAAAGGCATCACCTATAAACAAATAAATAAAATAAATAAGTATAATAAATAAATAAATAAATATAAATAAATATATAAGATCCTGTTCAAATGCAGTGTATGGATACCGCATATGTGGTGTATGTACACTGCAGATTAAATTTATATTCATTTTATATTCATCTTAAATTCAGTTTATATTTAAATTATATTTAATTAATATTCATTTTATATGCAGCTTATATGGAGTGTCCATACACTGCAAATGCAGTGTACATAGAGCGTATCCTGAGTTTATATTTTTTATTTACTTTATATATAATTATATTTATACTTGATATTTATATTTATTTTATGCTCAGTTTATATTCAGTTTAAGTGGTGTGTATGTACATACAGTGCATATTCAGTTTATATTCATTTTATATTCAATATACATATAAGCGATTAGTCTGCATTCTAACAATATATGTACATATACCCTTAAATAACTATATTTATATATTTATATAAAAAGAGTTATATATTGTCTTCAATATATCTTAATACATTTATATAATTAAATACATATCTATATATATATATATCTATATTTTTATTTACTTTAAAAGCTCTATAAACGCCTCCTTGTTCATACAACATTTTAAACACGCACCAAACACTCTGCATAAATAACTATATGTGTTTATGCTACATAAAACTATTTATTTATAATTAAAGATATATTTATATGTATATTTACTTATTTATTCACCTTAAAAGCTCTATAAACGCGTCCTTGTTCATACAACTTCTTAAACACCCACCAAACACTCTCCATGAAGTTCTTATCCATAGTTTTATAACCGCCTTTGAAGTCAATCCACCGCCCCGTACGCTCTGAACAAATATAAATTAAAAGAAAATAAATAAAATAAATATAAATAAATTAAATAATAATTAAAATAATTAAAATAAATAAAGCAATAAAGAAGAGTGGTAGGATGTTTGAGTGATACTGCTGCTGTTTATTTGTCTATTTTAACAAACAGACAAACAAAACAAATATAAAAAAATAAACAAATAAAAGATAAAACTAAAAAATAATAAAAAGGAATATAAATAAAATTAAAAATAATATAAAATATAAAAAACAAATATAAAAATAAATACAAACAAACAAACAAACAAACAATAAACAACTAAGGACATGCTTATGGATATTAAATGAAGCAAAAAGATATACTATCAAATCAAACCCCAGCAGCAGCAGCAACAGCAGCAGCAGCAGCAACAGAAACCCACAAACGACAAGGAAGAATGCACCGTAAACAGAGACACACAAACACAGAAAGTCAACAGCAGAAGCAGCAGTAGTAGCAGCAGCAACAGCAGTAGTAGCAGCAGCAGCAGCAACAGCAGTAGTAGCAGCAGCAGCAGCAGCAACAGCAATAGCAGCAACAGCAGCCTCACCGACGATTCTTTCCCATTCTGCTGAATACCGCAGCACAATTGACCTGCACAGGAAGCAGCAGCAGCAACAACAGCAGCAATCATAACAGCAGCAGCAGCAGGAGCAGGAGCAGCAGCCGAAGCTGTTGCTGCTGTGTCAGCGAAATCCACTCTCTTAACCCATCTATTCTAATTAGGGTTTGTTGTAGGGGTATTGAGGGTTTAGGGTTTAGGGTTTAGGGTTTGGGGTGTATATCCACTTGCCTGCACTGCTGATTATACTGAGGTATACCGTACTGCAGCACTTGCTGCTTTGTGTTTATTTTTAAAGTTTTGTCGATTTCAAATTCAATCGGCAGCCCGTGGCAATCCCAGCCAAATCGTCGTTCTACGTAAAACCCTCGCTGGTGCGCAAAACGACACACCACATCCTGCAGCAGCAGCAGCAGCAGCAGCAGCAAATGCAGCAGCAGTGGGAGCAGCAGCAGCAGCAGTAGAAGCAACAGTGGGAGCAGCAGCAGAAGCAGCAGCACTACCACACCAGCAGCAGCAACACTATCAGCAGCAGCACTACCACTACCAGCAGCAGCACCACTACCAGCAACAGCAGCACCACAACCACCAGCACCAGCAGCAGCACTACCAGCAGCAGCAGCAGCAGCAGCAGCAGAATAGCTACCTTGATGGTGCCCGCGAGAATATGTCCGTAGTGAGGCAGCCCTGTAGCGAAGGGGGGTCCGTCATAGAACGAAAATTTTTTGTTGTTTTGCGATAAAGTCAGCGACTTATAAAACGTATTTTCTGTTCGCCACTTGATTAATATCTCTTCTTCTTGCTTCGCTATATCCAAACGCTCATCCACTGTACATACACACAAATCTCGTGCTAAGTACTCTTCGATTAAACCCTTTATTATATATATATTTATATATACTATATATATATTTATGTATATTTAGATTTAGGTATATATATGTATATATGTATATATATACTGCATATTTAAATACACACACGCACATATATATATATACATATATATATATATATATTATGTATACATATATATATTATGTATACATATAATATATATTATATATATTATGTATATATACGTACATATTTATATCTATCTACATTTGTATGTACGCATAAACGCATAAATATGCATATTTATATTTACGCATGTATATGCGTATATATATATATGTATATATATATATATAACAAAAACATACATATGTATGCATATATATATATATATATATATATATATATATATAACAAAAACAAATAAATAAACAAACAAATAAATAAACAAACAAATAAACAAACAAACAAATAAACAAACATATAAACAAATAAATAAACAAATAAATAAGCACAGAGGTGTACATGGCTGAAAGATAAACAAACAAATAAACAAAATAAATAAACAAACATATAAACAAATAAATAAACAAACAAACACAAAGGTGTACATGGCTGAAAGGTGAGGCTCTCTGCTGCTGCATTTCCTTCTCCAATATCTGCAGCAACCATTTTGTCTCCTTTACTATGTACAAACACTTGCTGCTGCTGCTGCTGCTGCTGCTGTTGCAGCTGTTGTTGCTGTTGTTGCGGTGGTTGCTGCTGTTGCGACTGCTGCTGTTGCTGCTGCTGCCTTCGCAGCCGTTGTTGCCGTTGCTGTTGCTGTTGTTGCTGTTGCTGCTGCTGCTGCTGTTGCAGCCTGCTGCTGTAACTGCGGTACTTGGATAACGCTATGGAGAGAGGCCGTGCTGCACTGCAGCAGCAGCAGCAGCAGCAGCAGCGGCGGCAGCAAGCCCTTGATAAGGAAGACACCGAAGCAGAAGCAAGACCCAACAAAGACAAACCACGCATATGCTGTCTCTGCAGAACAACACAAACACAGAAACCCTAAACCCTAAACCCTAAACCCTAAGCAGCAAGCTGTAGAAGAAAGAAGAACACGCAGCCACTCTTAAACCCTAAACCCTAAACCCTAAACCCTTGGT